CAAGTAAAGACACAAGTTACGAACGGCTTTTATGGGGAAAAACGTTTCGCCCTGTGAAGTGATGTATGAGTATGAAAATCCGGAGGGCAAAAATTCTCTCAGACCCAGGATACCTAAAGTATTTTTATCTGAGGGGAAGTTTTCGCCCCCAGGATTTTCATAACATAAGACCCCGAGAAAGGGGGACATGCGGGTATGGAACAATTAATAGTATGGGGTAGTATAAAAGTAGTAGTAGTAGCACACATTTTGGGGCCTATTTAGGCCCTTGGTCAAACTTTCGAATTTTTTTGAAAAGTCTGTAAAATTTTAAACACCTCTTTTTTTTGTTTTTTAGTCCTTTAGGACCTTTTTCCGAAGTGTTTTCCAATAGTTGAGAAGACAGGAGCGATTTTTTTCCTAAACCAAAGTTGCCCGGGTTATGTAACGATGGGTTTTAGTGGGTGGTGATCTTGCTTCTTGGGGACCCTTTAAAAATTTTTTTATGAAGGGGGTTGTTAGTGTAGGGTTCCTTTAGTTCTTTGCTTTTTGCTTTACTGCCCCCTTTTGGAGTGGGGTTTTAGTCTGTTGTTTTTAGAAACTGTGGGAAAAACCCCGGTCCAGGGCCCCCTTCTAAATAGGAGGGTTAAAGGTCGTAAAGGGGGTTTCCCTTCGGGTTCTTAAATGAACACGGAGTTCCATATTCTGGCCCTGGGGAGGCAGAGTCCCGGGGCCCATGTCATTTATCCCCTGTTCGAATTTTTTGGGGCGTCGGTAACATCAAAAATGGGCCTTGTTTTAAACCCCCAAATTCTTGGCTCTCCCCATAAAAAATTCATTTAGATCTTGACTTCTTTCCGGGTTACCCGGCTTCCCAAAAAAGTGATTCATGGGGGAAACTTGAGTAGATCACTCTTTTCCCTTGCTGCATCTGTGTAGGACCCATCTTTTTTTAAGTGGGGGCCCAATCTGGCGTTTTTTCTCGATTTTGGGTTTTGGGCCATAGGAGAAAAAAAATTTGGGGTTTCCCTTTCGTTTTCTTTTTAGGGCCCTTTTAGTTCTTCCCGCGATTCCTGATCCTAAAAGTTTTCCTTTTAAGCTTTGTTCGATGCTTGCTATTTCCCTCTGACCAGTGTCCCCCAAAAAAAAAAAATGCATTTCAGAATATATTGCCCCCTTTTTACCCGCTCTGTTTTTTCTTTTTCCCGTCCCCTTTTTGGGGAAACCCCTGTCTCTTTCTATTTTACATTTCTCCCCCTTTTTTCTTAGAGGAATAACCCTTGTGCTAAAATCAGGCCACCAAAGTTTAAAATTTCTGTTTTTTGGCATAAGGTTGGGGTTTCCTTGGTTTTTTTTTGGGCTTTGTTTAAAATCTTTTCCCCAGCTTTTAATTTTTTTCGGTTAGGAAACCTTTTTGGTTTTTTTTCAAAACTTTTTGGGTCCAATTTTTTAAAATTGTTTTTTTTTTAAATTGTAGTTGAAAGGGTGCCCCCCTTTGAAAATTATAAAATTATGTTTGGGGTTTACCTCCTAAATTTTATTTTTGCCCCTAAAAAATTTTTTTGGGCCCCCCCAAAACTTTTGTTAAAAAGGGGTTTTTTATTTTTTGGTACCCCCCAAAGGGAAATTAATTTTGGGTTTTTCCCGGGGGGGAAAGTTTTCCCAGAGCTCCCCCCTTTTAACCCAAATTTTTTTAATTTTTTTTTTGGTTAAACCCCCGGGGCTGGGGTAGTTTTCCCCTGGAATTTTTGCTGGGAAATTGGATTTGCATCGGGGGTTGTAAACTCCCCAAAATGCCCTGGTTTTTGGGGGTTTTTCCGACCTTTAAACTCCCAAAAACTTCCACAAACATCATTTTAGGCTTTTTAAAGGGCAGTTCTTTAAAAAAGGGGGACCTAAAAATTATACAGGCCAACCCCTCCCCCCCCTTTTCCGGGTTAAATTCGTAACATCTGTAAAGGTTGTAACCGGGTTTCCCTATTTCGTTGTCCAATTTGTTCCTTTATGTGGGTCTCAGTGAAAGCCGCGAACATTGGCCTTTTCCCCCAAGCAGTCCCCGGGAAAAAAAATTTTTTTTTGTTTTTTTGGGGTTTTTAAAAAAAAAAGGGGGGGTTTTTTTTAAATTTTTATATATAAAATTTTTTTTTTAAATTTTTATAAAAAAAATATAAAAATTTTTTTAAATTTTTATATATATTTATATAAACCCTTTTTTTTTTTATATATATTAAAAAATTTTTAAAAAAAAAAAAAAAAAAATTATATAAAAAAAAAAATTTTTTTTTTTTTTTTTATATATATTATATATATATAAAAAAATTTTTTAAAAAAATAAAAAAATTTTTTTTTTTTAAAAAAAAAAATATATATATATATATATATTATAAATAAATAAAATATATATAATATATATTTTTAAAAAAAAAAAAAAAAAAAATTTTTTTTTTTTTTTATTTTTTTTTTTAAAAAAAAAAAAAAAAAAAAAAAAAAAAATTTTTTTTTTTTTTTATTTAAAAAAAATTTTAAATTTAAAAAAAGGGGGGGTTTTTTTTGTTTAAAAAATTTTAAAAAAAATTAAAGAAAATTTAAAAAGGGGGGGAAAAAAAAATTTAAAAAAATTTTTTTTGGGGGTTTCTTTTTGGGTTTTTTTGGGGGGGGTTTTTAAAAGGGGGGGGGGGAAAAAAAATTTTGTTTTAAAAAAAAAGGGGAAAAAAGGGTATAAATTTTTGAAAAAGGGGGGTTTTAAAATTTTGGGAAAAAAAATTTTAAATTTTTAAAAAAAACCCCCCCGGGGGGGGTTTTGGGGGGGTTTTTTAAAAAAAAAAAAAGTTTTTTATTCATTTTTTAAAAAAAAAAAATTTTTTTTTTTTAAAAAAGGAAAAAGGGAAAAAAAATTTTTAAAAAAAAAAAAATTTGGAAAAAATTTTTTAAGGGGGAAAAAAAAGGGAAAAAATTTTTTTGGAAAAAAAAATTTTTTTTTTGGGGGGGGAAAAAAAAATTTTTTTTTTTTTAAAAAAAAAAAAAGGGGTTTCCCCCAAATTTTTAAAAAAAATTTTTTTAATTTAAAGGGGGCCTTAAAATTTTTAAAAAATTTTCCCTTTTTTAAAAAAGGGGAAAAATTAAAACCAAAACAAGGGTTTTTTTTTTGTTTAAAAAAGGGGGGAAAAAAAAAAAAAAAATTTTTTAATTTTTCCTTAAAAAGGGGGGGAAAAAAATTTTTAAAAGGTTTTTTTTTAAAAAATTTAAAAATTTTAAAAAAGGGGTTTTTTGGGGGGGTTTTTTTTTAAAAAAAAGGGGGGTTTTAAATTTGGGGAAAAAAATTTTTTAAAAAAAAGGCCCTTTTTCAATTTTTTTTTTTTTAAAAAGGGGCCCTTTTTTTTTTTTTTATTTTTTTGGGGGATTAAAATTTTTAAATTTTTTTTTTTAAATTTTAAAATTTTTTTTTTTTTTTTTAAAAAATTTTTTTTTAAAAAACCCCTTTTTTAAAAATTTTTTTTTTTTAAAAAAAATTTTAAAAATTTTTTTTTTTAAAAAAAAAATTTTTTTTTTAAAAAATTTAATTTAAAAAAAAATTTTAAAAAAAAAATTTTTTAAAATTGGTTTTCTTAAAAAAAGAAAAAAAAAATTAAAAATTTTTAAAATTAAAAAATTTTAAAAAAAAAAATTTAAAAAAAAAAAATTATTTAGAAAAATCGTACTACATGAAGCTCAAATACTTATCCCAAATTTATAAGCAAATAATAATGTGAACATGTTAATATAGGTTTGAATGAAAATGGAAATGCGTCTTTTCGGAAACATTTAAATTAATTGTTTGTTGTTCTTTCTGTTAAGATATGGTTTTAAAAACATAACATTCCATAATTTCGTTTAAAATTTGATTACAATTAAAAGATTTCTACCTCTACAGTTTTATGTAAAAGGAAACTAATCACTATTCTATTTCGAGTGGCATTAAGTAACTAATAATAATAATAATAACTCCTGTTGTATAAAAAGGCTGTTTGAAGTTGAATTTCAACCACTTAAGATCATGTAGTGTTGCATCTGCTCGTTTGTTGCTACATTTCTTGGGATTCATATTGACATAGATTTTTTTTTAAAGAAATCCCTGTATTCAGATTTTTTCCTTTAGGTATTATGGGGAATTGAGATGGATGTTGTAAGTCGCCTTTTATTCTTACTAAATATACTGCTAACTCCTGCAAAACTGGGAGGAAAATGTAATAGTTGAGATGTACATTAGTTTAAAAATTGTCTGATCTACATTGTGATCGACCCAATGTATTATTAACAATTATGCCTAATTAAGACGCCATTTTTTCTTATTTATACTGATTTGTAATACAAGAAAGATACTTCTCATGTTTTATTAAGATTATTATTTTTATTATTGTATTATTATTATTATTATTATTATTATTATTATTATTATTATTATTATTATTATTATTATTATTATTATTATTATTATTATTATTATTATTATTTCTATTTTTATTAACTTTATTAATATTGATATAATTACCAAAATTATTATAATTTTATTATTAATATATGTTATTATTATTATTAGTTAGTACATATTCACATAAGAATTAACGTACTGTAGACTGTACAGGATTTTTTAACCTTAGCAGCTGCAGTATAATGACTGTGGTTTCAGAACATAAAGAACAAAAATATATCATATGTCATATTTCGAAAAAATTAACATGTTCTCTTAATCAAATTATGATTACCTATAATTGAAAAATTATCTGCTATTAGGTATTTAAAAAGTTAATTTTTTGTCAATTATATTTTTTATTAAGACACTCATTTAAGAAAAACATTGTTACAAGCAAATATTTTGTTGTTCCTGGATGCCTTAGTAAAAAGAACGGTTTTGGGAATAATGGCTGCCATTGTATGTAATGAATGAAAGATCATTGGATCTTTTGAATGTTGAGTGTTGTCTGCAAGTGGCAGTGCAATAGTGACTGACAGGACACCCACTGACATAAAACCATGGAGGAGGATCAGCATAAACATCAGCTTCTTCAGATATCTAGTAGCGATAGCGGGAATTCACTTTGTAGTATGATGGAATATAGAGATGTGGGTAGGTAGGTTCAGCTTCTGGCTCTGCAGATCTCCTGTAGCGGTAGTGGCTTTTCACTGAAGGGTAGGATGGAACATTGTACCGAGGGTATGTAGGTTCAGCCTCTGGCTCTGCAGATCTTACGTGGCGATAGAGATTCAAGTGAGGGTAAGATGGGACATAGTAACGAGGGTATGTAGGTTCAGCCTCTGGCTCTGCAGATCTTACGTGGCGATAGAGATTCAAGTGAGGGTAAGATGGGACATAGTAACGAGGGTAGGTAGGTTCAGCCTCTGGCTCTGCAGATCTCTGATAGCGATAGTGTTTATTCAAGTAAGGGTATGATGAAACGTAGTGTAAAGGATAAGTTGGATCAGCCTCTGGCTCTGCCTCCCTTTTACCAGCATGATGACGGTATGGGGTATAATGTGGGCGCAGATATTTGTGGCCGGGCTCCGCATCTCGCTTCTCAACATCAGAAGCGCAAACGGCAGCCGCCAGGAACACAAACACCTGTATGTATTAGATAAAAATAATCACCATTACTTGTAACTACAAAAATGTAAGGTGAATCTCTATGAAAATATTGCAATATTTTGAATGTGATTCATTATAATTTGAAAATGGCATAACTATTTTATAAACTCTTGGTCGTCCAAGACTGCTTCAAATATTGAATAATTTGAGATAAAAGAACAACATGGAAAATATAGAAGTGGAAAACTCACCAAAAAGTTCATGTTTGAAGAGTATCAACTGTGGCCACAGCTGAGCGAGTGTGTCTTACAGCAGAGACTCCAGGCTTTTATAGGTGAGTGACGGGAAGAGTCCTTGGATTTCTTTTAGTTAATATAACATAATGCAATGTGGAATTATTTTATCTCAAGGTTTACCTGATAAATTAATCGTTAAAACGAAAACTGACAAATTCCTACAGACGATAATTAATATACAGAAATAATGTTGGGTAGCTAGTGATGTACAGTGTATTCCAAAGTTTATTGAGTGTTATTAGTCACTCCGCATTTTTTATATGAAATATACTTATTTTTTATCTAAATATGAAAATGCAGATGATAACAATACTAGCATACTTATGTGTAGTTTATTATACATTTTTCGTTACAGGCTTAGATTATCAACTAAATAGAGCCCAAATGCGTAAAATTTTACATTTTTTTAATAACAGACAGAACGAGTGATTAGTAGCTTGAACTAATGTTTATCATGCATTAGCCTTTGCTAATATTGCATTGCATTGTTAAAATTGTATTTTATCATGATACCTATGTATTTTGCATTTTTACACACTAAGGAAAAAAGGAACAAGAACACTTTTTTAAAGCTATTGTACATAAACTTATGGAAGACGAGAAAAGAAATGCCAGTTGCAGAGCAGTGGACATAAACATCACGGAATGTTAGCAAAGAATTATAGTCCATTTTAACTTATATATGGTGAAAGTAGCAAGAGTGCTAAAGAAACTCGAAAAACTGGATCATCCTGGAAGTCATAATAAACCACATCAAAGACCATGACGTTTAGACATGTGACATTCTCCTTCCCTTCTTTTACCCACCTGAACTCATCCAACCCATTAATTTTATATACTTAGCAGTGCATAATTTGCATTCCATGAACTCGTGCTTCATTTCTGGATTGATACCTTCAATGTCAGTGTGGTCTATTGATTTTCTTAATATCTTATCCAACACTTTACAAAGTATGCGAACCATCACAGAGATCGCAGGATTTCTTAGAACTCTTGATATCGATTTGTTTCTTTCACTACATTTCACGTAAAAACTTAAAAGAAAATTAAACTTGAAAAACACAGGCCAAAAATAAATATGGATGAGAAAAAAACATAAAATGCATTAAACTAGGAATCAGAGATAATTAACTGTTTTTTCTTTAAGAGCTATATTAGGCTAACGAAGACAATCATACAAATAACACAGGCGAATAAAGAAGTAAGAATTTGAAAAACTTATTTTTTTTTTATTTAACATAGTTGATGAAAAGTACAACCAACCTTTCTCACCTTCTGATTCGGTTATGTCATAACACGTCAGCTTCTGGGTGTGGATGCATTGAATCATGGGAATTTTCATTAGTATATCGATGTATCGGTTTAAACTCTGAAGGCAGTTTGCTATATTTGTTTTAATCTTCGAGGCTGATGTTGTGTGACGGAATGAAGTGTGTGTGTGTGTGTGTGTGTGAGTATATTTCCACATGTTGATGAGTATTTTACACCATTTTTGACACCCCTTTTTTCAACTTTTCCACATATTCCACTTTGATAAAATGAGGGGAAAATTTTAAGCGACTTACGAAGCCCATTTTGAAATAAAATTGATTTCCGAAGAAAAAAGTTGAAATCAACTCTGTTTGTAGTATACCTAAAAATCTGTTGAAGTTTTGTCTCTTTTAAATGATAGGCTTTCAGCCCGTTTAAGATCCGATCAAAAAAATTTTATGACGGTTTCCACGGGGGTGGGGGATTGTAACAGAAGATTGTACAGGTACCCTCCGGATTTTCATCACTCAACAGACAGGAAAGGAGACTGCAGTAGTAAAACAATTAAAGGTAGTATAGTAGTAGAAGTTAGTATAGTTATAGTTTAGTAGTAGTATCAAGGATCTATTACCCTAGCCTTTTCTTCACCCCCCTGGGTTATGTGCAGTGCGCCAGCATTTGCTGGTGCACAGTCGCCCTCATTTTGCTGGAAACCTCTTGTCCCCACCGTAAATATCTTTAAATCGTGACTGAGCTTTCAATATTTCCCTCGCGTTTCATGTGACTCCCCCCTTTCTTCCTCAACCTGATTACTTAATCCTTGACTGTTTTTTCCCCCTGATGTGGCTGATAAAACATAGGGGTCAGTTTTGGGTTTTTGTGCTTGTCTTTCATTTTATTGTGCTGGCTTCTCTGCTTACCCATCATATACTTCTGGACTTGACTCAATCCTTCTCCGGTCCTTTACCTTTATACTTTTCCCATACCTGCACACTTAGCTTTGTTTCTCCCACCGGTAACCATGAGCTCATCCGGTTTCCGTTGTTTTTGTTGCCCTTTAGTACAAACTTACTGTCTTCCCGCACTTTGTGGTCTGGGTTCCATATTTATTTACTGTTTTTCCCTCTAGCTCACTTACTCATGCCCATATGTAGAAATTGCCTCAATTGTGTAGTCCCTATTTTGGAAATTTTGGCTTCTCCCCCCTTATGTGTGCTTTATTCTCCTTTTTTAGCTGTATTTGTGTGTCTTGTGTGTTTTTGGTGTGTGTGTGTGTGGTGTGTGTGTGTGTGTGTTGTGGTGTGTGTGTGTGTTTTGTACTCTTTTAAATTGTACTCACCTGTTTGTGGTTGCGGGTTCGATACTCAGTTTGCCCCGCCTCCCCATGATGCTACTAGTTCCTCTCCTTTTTCCCGACTTTGTCATACCTCGTCTTAAAGTAGTAGGGTTTCCCTGCCTCCATTACTCACTTGCTGGTTATTCCCTTCCTGACGACTCTGTGACTAAAGGGGGTGAACTGCGTTGAAGAGCAGTTGGAAAAACAATAAGAGAGAATGGAAACTAGATGTATAGTGAGCAAGATCAATTGTCACTGATGCTGGAAGGTTTCAATGGTACTAAAAGGTTGCCATGGTACTACAAAAGGCTGTCAGGGGCACTGGAACGATTTCAGGGAAAACCGAAGAAATTGCCAGTAATATCGGAATAAAAAGTCTAATACGTAATGATTATCAGTGTTGAGAAAGGCAGCTGGACTGGAAAGAGTGTCAGTGGTAAGGAAAGGACGTTAAGGTATTTAAATGTTGTAAATAGTGCCTGAACAGATGTCGGGTATTAGAAATGCAATCGATGTACTGAAAATATGTCACGGGACCGGAAAGGTTGTTAATCAGGGGTTTGTTGACTTCTTTGTAGAAAAAAAAAAAAAAAAAACTAGAAAAGGGCGGGGAAAGGTAAACAGAGGCACGAAAAAAGGGGGCAGAGCTGGAAACGTTTTCAGTGCTCTCTCGAAGATATCAGGAGGCAATGAAAAAAAACATTGAGAGGATTTTTTCCTGGAAAAATTATCCAGGGGGTTTGAGTTTTTTGGGCAATGCAAGCCTCTCTCCCAGCATTTCACCCAGATTTCACCCTTCCCCAGATATTTTCCCCCCACCTTTGCGGGCTGTCACCATCCCACATTTTTCACTGCACCCACCCCTTTACCCCCACCCCCTCTCTTAAAAGGTAAAGAAACCCCTTTCGCTATGGGCAAAAATTAACATTTTTTTTCTGTCGCATAATTTCCCCACGGGCCCCTTTGGCTATATTTTTTTTAAAAAGCCGCAGTTAAGCTCTTCCGGTTAAGACGTGATACCCACCCAACTCACAAGTTTTTAAAAATTTTAAAAAAAAGGAGAGATTTTATTATAATAAAAAACCCCCTAAGCCAAAAGGGGTAAAGAAGCCAAGCAACTAATTTTGCTTGCCCCTTTTAAGTCACTGAATCAAATTCTCCCTCGAGACAAGATAAAAGAATGTTTCAATACCCCTGGTTGTCTTCAAGAAGACACGAACGGGCCCCTAAGCAGACCTGACCAAGGGCTTGGTTGTACGTATTTGTGTGCGGCCAGAAAAAACAGCCTGGTTGTTTTGACCCTACCCACCTTTGGGGCCCTGGTTCAGACCGAGCCGGGGGGTGTTTTACCCCGAAACCCCCCCAGGTAACTCCGGGAAAACCTATTTCAAAGAAGTAAACAAATTTCATTCAAACACAGAGATACGATTGGAAACGCTCGTGTTTTACACCCATTTACAAAAAAAAAGAAATTTTAAACCCCCTCATACAGAAATAAATGGCATTAATATACAAACGGCCACAGGGAAATGAGATTTACACACCTAACAGTGAAGGAAATTGAATCTTCAAGTCCCATACTGAGAGACATAAATAACATTTGCACACCCAGGGCCAAAAAGAAATGTTAACAAATATGGGGGGTCGTAAATTCCATCGTATTCCCCAGATGAAACACAATGACTGCATCTTTAAAACTGCACAAATAAATAGGATAAAATTAAAGATTCCAAAACTTCGAAATATTCAGAACTATTTTTTTATGGTTCTTGGTATCATTTTCACTTTGAGTATGGATGAACATGAGGTCACAGTTCACTAGGTACCTACAATTGGTACCCCCTTCTGAAAACCGGAAGAATAGATCTTGCAAACGAAATGCTATGTAACACACGATGTCTGTGAGGTATGCGGGAAGCTCAAGTGGTTTCTGCGTACCTTGGACACCGTTTACAAAGAGCTTAGGAGTATGCAACAGTAAAAATGTTAACCACAAAATTAAAAAACACTTCTTTTCCTCTCCTTCTGATCACCACAGCCAGTATCCCCATGCATGGAGAAAACCCCCACACACACAGACACTGTACATGTGTATGTCAGGCCCATACTGGGGTATGCAGCACCCGTTTTGAACCCCCACCCGGTCAAGCACGTCAAGAAATTAGAGAAAGACAAGGTTTGCAAAAGGCTAGTTTCCCGGGGTTCGGGAATGTCCTACGAAGAAAGTTTTGGGGAAACGGGCTGACGCACTGGAGGATAGGAGGGTAGGGGAGGGGCATGATAAAAGACATACAAAAAATGCTTGTGAAGATAAGGTGGACAGAGACGGTTCCAAGAGGGACACAGAAACAAGGGGGGACAATTGGAAATGAAGCTCAGACGGTCCGTGGATGTTAGGGAATATTTTTTCAGCACAGAGTGTCAGGAAGGGAATAACCCCAGCAAAATGTGTAATGGGGGTAGGAACCAT